GCTCACACAATAAATCACATTGTTGAAGATGCTTTATAGTGTGTGAATACCTATATCTAAGGTTCGTGAAATTGTGCGTTGAATAAAAGAGATACGTATTAATGGTTCTGAACAGTCAGTTTTAAAACTTATTGCCGATATCGAAACAATATGGAACTGAACAATATCTTTGAAAAGTGACCCATTGGAAGACATGAAAACGATATTTCCTAACTTTTATAAGTGAATATATATTTCCTAAAGCTGGTGCTGCTATGACACACAATAGAAAAAGCTTGTCTCCTAAATATTTGCAGCAACCGACTGTTTGGGAAACCTTTAGAAATAATATTTTTGGTTTACCTTATGGCAATAAATGCATTAAAATATATTCCAAGAATTTTATTACAATCCCTTATTTAAACGGCTTTTTTACAGTTAAAATTCACGGTAACAGTTAATTTCGGTCTTGAAAAACTCATCGAAAATGTATACTTAAAATGTGTTTATGACGATTATATGTAGATTCACTCAATATCGAGTCAATAAAATTGTGAGCAGGTAATGGGTTCGATACTTTCAGAATACTGATATGAGTAGTATCGCAAGATGATTCGGTTACTACTCATTTGAGTAAGTATTGATACTTTCTCAGTATCGTATCGTCCCTAGTGCGGATAGCTGTTTCATATAGAAATGTATCACTCTTTACATGAGTAAATAGTGATGTACCATCTCAGTTGAGATGCCTACAGCCTCAGCCACCTCACGCCCTTTTATTCTCCGATAGTCCAGTGTGGTTCCATGAATTCTATCGACCATTTCTGGCGTAACAACCTCTTTTGGACGACCTGAACGTTCTGCGTCATTTGTGCTGGTACGACCACAACGAAACTCAGTAAACCACTTCTTAACCATGGAAATCAAGGGTGCAGAATCCCCATAGTATTTATCCAGCTTTTCCTTTACTTATTTGATGGTTTTTGTACGTTAAAAATAATGTTGTAGCCAAATTTAAGGTTTCAAGAAGGCAAAGACCTAGAAGAACGTTGATTTTTACCAATCATGAGTTTGTGTAAATTTTAAATCTGATGATGGCACTGTTCTCTCGCTGAAACGTAATGAAAGAAACGATGTTTCAAAATGTTTACTTCAGACTTTGACTGAGATCCAAGAAAGATAAAAATATAATAACAAGTACACGCAATCAGAAATACATCTTTCAAATTTGTTCAATTCCCCGTTATGTTAGAAGATATAGAAACATCTGATAATCAAAACGAAAAGTTGACGCTATATCACACTACGAAAACCTGTCATAGAGGTATCAACGAGATAATGGTTTCCTTAACTCTAAGATTCTATTGGCCCAAAATGATCCACGATATCGAACAGTTCGTGAACTCATGCGAAATATGTCAGAAAAACAAATACGATTCTAATCCCCCCATAATTAAATTTAAGTTAACACCTACAACATCTAGGCCGTTCGAACAAATTCACGCTTTTGAACAGTTGTAAGTAAACAGCTGACACTTATAGGATTGAAAAAGAAGCATTTCTCACCATTATTGACGCATTTTCAAGCTACGGTCAAGCTTACCTTTTGAAGACTCTAACAGGGACGTCAGTAGTAGAAAACCTGTTAAATTTCGTTACCAACCACGGACTACCGTTAAAAATCACGTATGACCAAGGATCAGAATTGAAAAATAAAGACTAGAAAACTTCTGTAAATTATACAAAATCGAATTGCACTACGGAACATCAAAAAACAGTAATTCTAATTCACCAGTCGAGAGATTTCACTCTACATTGATTGAACACTATCGATGTCTTAAATCAAAAAATATACGATACACACCGGAGCAATTGATTTGGAGTGTGGAGGAGTGAACATGAAGGAATTGAGATCGAGTATGACAAGGGGAAAACAGACCATGCGAAAAGTGAGAAATAAACAAGGAAAGGAACAGTAGTGTATGAAGAGTAGGAGATCGTGACCAACATTCAAAGCWTCTACCGAAAGCTCTACAGACAGGAAATTACAGACACAGGTTACCAGAGAGWTAACAGAGTACAAATTCTAAAWGCGGGATCGGAAGAAATACCGGAGATCGACMCATCCCAACTAGAGCAGGCAGTGAGATCTATGGACAACCGCAAGGCTCCAGGATAAGATCGCATTACAGCAGAAATGCTGAAAGAASGARGAGCAACACTGAAAAAAGCAATTCTCATCCTGTTCAATRAGTGTCTGGAGGAGGGCCGCATCCCACAAGCATAGAGAAACGCCGAGGTCAAAATCCTATTAAAGAAAGGAGACTGTAGAAACATCGGCAAGGTATTTAGCAAGATTCTGACCAGACGCTTGAGTAAAAAACTAGACTTTTAGCAATCCATAGATCAAGTGGGATTCGGAAAAGTATTTAGGACCACCGACCATATCCAGACTGTCCGGACACTGATGGAGAAATGTAAGGAATACATTGTCCCTCTTCACCTTGGGCTCGGCGACTATCAAAAGGTATTGACTCGGTAGAAGAATGGGCAGTACTAAATGAATCGGATAAGGCTAGGGTCCTAAATCTCCAATAAGATCCCCAAAAGTTTTCACCTTGGCTTTGGAAGGAGTTTTCAAGACCTTGAATTGGGAGTTAAAAGGTATTAACCTTGACGGAAGGTACTTGCTCACCAACATGTTAAACGAGCTAACAGAAGCATCACAAGCAGTGGGGCTTCAGATAAACTTAGGTAAAGCCAAGATCTTCAGTTCTTATAACACCCAGGCCATCCTAGAAAACATTAATATTAAAACAGTGACTGAACAAAAATAGTTCGGGAGTGAAAACCAAACGATGGATATTGCAAGAATGATGCGCCTCACCTGGGYAAAGTAAGGTAACCTCTCTCACATCCTAAGAAATTTTAAAACTGCAGTTAATCTAAAGCGGACTAAGGTGTTCGAGAAATGTATTCTACCGGTCATGACGTAGGGCCTTGAGACTATGACTTTCACACAAAAAAGTGCCAATCGCCTGAGAGTGTGTCAGAGAGCCATCAAACGTTCAATTCTGGATACTAGGCCTTAGGGACAGAATAAGGAACGATGAGATCAGGAGAAGGACGGGAATCTCATGAGTCATGGAAATAGTGGCACGGAATAAGTGAAGATGGGTTGGACATGTGGCGAGGGTCGATGTCAAGTGGACCTGGTCATCCTCCAATGACGATCTAGGGAAACAAAAAGAAGTGTTGGACGACCCCAGACGATAGTCGTGGGTGTCAATCCGTCAGGAGTTCGAAAAACGGATTTCGCCCTCGTATCGAGCAACATTTTTTATTCGAATGAAAAACATAACACGAATTATAAGTTATAATAAATAAAAATAGCCAAAAATAAAGCCGTCAACGGAATATTTAACATTTGTCAATGTCAATGCCATTTTTTAAATAGTCACGTTTTGACGTTTGTAATTTTACAAAAGCGTACTTTTGTAAGCATATACAATGTTGAAAATTCAAGTGCTGCTTTCAAGGTTCAAGGGTATGTATTTATAAGGTGCATATTTTGCATAAAATTTGCGATCTTTAAAAAAATCGTGTTTTGCTTGTGGCAACATCGGCGAGCGCAGAAAAATAGACCATTTGAACGACTTTGAGGCTCAACTTGTAACAAAGTTATAATTTAGAAATTGTAAGTAAACTTTAAATTATAATTAACAGTTTTCAATAAACCTACGTAATTAATTAAAACAGAATATCGGTTACTTTTTAATAAAAATACTTCAAAAAATATAATGACATTGACAGATTCAATTTGTCACATTTACTTTTGCGCACATGTGCATAAAAATCCGTGAGTAAAAGTAAAACAAATGAACAGTAAAGAAAACTGCATCATCGCTTCTGATCGAAAAATGGCAGTTTTAGATTCATTCGAATAAAAAATCATTTTTATTTCATGCAAAATATGCAACTTATACAAACACTGGAGCCTTGAAAGAAACACTTGCATTTTCAACTCACTGTTTCACTTTTATTTGCTTACAAAAGTACGCTTTTTTTAAATAACAAACGCCAAAACATGACAATTTCAAAAATGGCATTGACATCAAATTTTAAATATGAAGTTGACGTCTTTTATTTTTGGCTACTTTTATTTATTATAACTTATGATTCGTGTTATGTCATTTATTTGAATAAAAAATATTGTTCGACACGAGGGCGAAAATCCGTTTTTCGAACTCCTGACTCTCGGACTCCTGACGGTCAAACGCCGTCGTCGATCGGAACACTTCTTCGCCCTTGTATCGAAAACTACTATTTTGAATGGAAGTTTTTTTAAAAGCATTTCCGACATTTAACCGAAAATATTGTAGTTGCTAAAAATATGAAGAATCGGTAAGTTCCTTCGGAAGTTTGAGATGATGGAAAATATGCGCAAAAGATCTCAATACCTTCCCATGTGTGGTGCATGTTACAAGAAAACACAGCGCTTGCAGTTCTCAAATGAGTTTTCCAAAAGTCGGCGGTTTTGCACATGAAAGTGCCTTTGAATCTCAGAACAGCTGATGGCAATAATTGAGACGCCAATTTATTTAAAAAATTCTCACATATTCGCGCTTTCTCAACCAGGTTTAGCGAAACAATTGCAAAACATTTTGATCAATCAAATATTTTCACACGCAAGCGTCACGCTAGATTCATACACATCACCCAGAGGAATGCTAATATTTAAAAACTTCGATGACATTATTTTAAGTAGTTTACTACAAGGTGATTCAACATTGATCAATTTCCATATAAAAGCGAAGAAACCACACGAATTTTTATTCAATTGAGGAAGTGCCTGCACTTCATTAAATGCCATTTGAACATTATGCAACGATCATCATCAAAGTCATGGATGTATGTGGACTTTTGAACGCAATTGAAATGTCGAAGAGTTCATTAATCATCCGATCGCTTGAGAGACTCCCATGTAATGTTATCTTGTAATTTCAGGCAAGTACACTTTACATTATATTATGCTGATAAATTTCTAATTGTACTTTAAGTAATGTTTAATTGAAGTTTATTTAGTTCTGCTGGTCAAATTAAAATTCAACATTGATTTAACAAGTTAATGGTAATTTAGTTTCAATTTACCCACAAGTAGGCACCAGAAACAGCAAGTAATGTGAAATGGTTAATACAACATTTGCGTTGCTTACACGATTAGTCCAAATTGTGCAGGGTGATGACCACATTAGCCAGCTTATAAAGTTCAATTTTGAGTAATTTTTTTCTTATCTAATTTGCTCCATTAGGTACCAGAATCCGAAAACCAACAGACCATAAAGGATTACATTCAGGAAAGGAAGAGTAATTGTATAATAGATGTGGAACGCAAGGAAGCATGCAGTGGTAAGCGTGTTCTTGCACTCTTCGTTTAATAACACCAGATGGGAGATTGAATAAACCATTTTCTACTAGATGATGGTAATTTGTTGCGTTTGTTTTTTCCTCTTCGCCCGATCTCAATGGTGGCTTGACACGAAACGATCAGCGCATGAAAATGAAAAATGTCACTCTTCTGGTATCAATAGTTGCCGATGCAATGGGAAAAAGTGAAAGTGCATTTATCACTTGATAATATGCGGTCATTTGCATGATGCGAAGGTGTCTGCACGGAAAATACCAACGCGGAAAAGTTTTGAAAATTCTCAGCTAGAAAACATCGCAATTTCTTAATTCGGCTTGAAACGGTATAATCGATGAAGTGCTAATTAGAAAAAAAACCCAATGGAAAAAATGGTACTTGAGGTCAACATCGAGCTAATGATGAACATTCGTTCGCTTTCCAGTAATGGTTAGTTTTATTTAAGATTAATCACCTTTTCATCCTGGGCGAAATACGGACATTTTTTAAATTAGCAATTATAAGTTGCCCGTTTAATGCGCCAAAATCCTGAAATTTTGAATGGAAAACCTTTCGGTGGATGATTTTATTCAGCGGTGTAGAAGACGAAGGATGTTATTCTTCAAAAGAGGGAAAGTCGAAAAATTCCCGGTTATTCAAAACCATCAAACCCCTCTGGAAAAGATCCAAACGAAGAAAATGTCTGTTTATCGACAATGAAAATGCAACAAAGCAAACAGTTCTCCCTACATTAGTCTGCCAACGATTCAAAGTAAATTTGAAGGGAAAAAGGTTTGTTGCTCAAAAAAAAAACCAAGGAAAGTCGAAAACTCGGCTCACCATCAACACGGTCCATGGTGCACACATTGAGTATGCTGGGTAGGTAAAATGGTATTCTCTTCAGCACGCCCCACCTCATATTCGAACAGGTGAACCCGGGTTACCTGTGGTTCGTTCAGTCCGCTAGTGAATACAGACAAGTGGCGAATCGATCGTTAGAAAAAAAACTGAAACCGACTTTGTGTGCTTTTTCAGTGCTTTGTGCTTATTGGCCGCGAAATTGACTGGAATTGTGGATTTTATTACCATTTGGATTAGGGCTTTTGTCGGCTGATTTGCTGGTTAGTTTTTTCATTTTTTTTTTAATTTTGATATTGTTGCTGATAAAATTGTTCTATGAGTTTTTATGAGTGGTGTAATTAGAATTAACAGAAAACAATGCGAAAATTGGAGAAACTGCCAAACTCAAAGTGTTTTTGAAGTAGTTTTTTGGTGATATTTTTTGAAAGTATGAAAATTTAATTTTTTTTTTAATTTACGGCTTTTGCAAGTTTCTAGATTTTTACGTAAATTTGGTATTTAACGACTTTATCACTCCCTCTAATTACTCACTTAGACGCTTACTTAACAATTATCTTAGAACAATTGCAGTAGAACAATGCCTGGCATTCATCACATTTATCACTTCTCGACAAAAAATCAATGGTTTTTAGCAATTTCCTAGATAACCACAGTCTATTGTTAGGTGAATTTATAAAAATTTCCTTTTTTTCACTTGCTAACCTTACCAGTCAATAAAGCTTTGCAGTGTTAAAACCCCAATAAGGCCATTCCGCACTCAAGGCTACTTTGAGCAATAACCAATCGATATCTTCGATCTCTGATCGAAATATGAGTAATAATTTTAATTAGCAGCGTTGCCTGAAATGAGCATTAATCAGCCAGCATATAAAGGGTAAAAATCGATATTTCAGATGAATATCTCTAATTGGTGATTTGGTTGATAGCAGGCAAGTTATAATGGAAATTAACGCAAAAAATAATTGAATAATTCTTCATTCCCTTCACGAGTTGAATTTAATTCGAATTTCTACTGGTGCACTAATGATAAAATAAGACACTGAAATCCTTCCTGCATTAATTCGAGCACAGATGTGAAAAACAAAAGCGATTTGCCAATTCACTCGAGCTAATAATCTGTGAAAGTCACCGAGAAAAAGTAAGCGCGCCAATATTACTCAAAATGGCCATTTCCTAATCAATATAAGTCTTTATGCAATTAGTCGTATGCTCACGTCCAAGAATGTTTATTTAAAAAAAAGCGTCTTAAAGTGTGAAATCGATAGTGTACGTTACCACATTATTGCTCCAAGTGGACGAATGTTGGAGAAGAAAGTGGCTGCAAAGTCTGGCGATTATTAGTTGAACAAATCACTTAACTACTTAGAATTCACAAGCGCTAATTAAAGTTTGCCACTAATTTCCAATAGGCTTGAATGTTAATTTGATCATCTCCGCAATCTGCTACTTTCATATCAAGCAAAGCATTCGCCCAATTCTAGGTTGCCGTAGAATTGACTGAAATATTCTTTAAGTGGATTTGATAAACATCGATTTCGAAAAATAAATTTATTTAGAATACGCCAGTTTGAACGAGAAGTTACAAGGCTTGAAAATGTGTGGAAAGTTTAGTGCTGCTGGACTGAATAATTGTTATTGAAGTTTTCATGGCTCTAACATTCATAATGCTCTATATGCTGTGAAACTTGTAAATGATTTTGCGTCCTATTTGGAAAGTTACGAATGTTGGAAAGAGAAGCAATTGTAGATGTGTGGAAACCATCAATTTGCGTCGATAACTGGATATTTGTGAAAAGTCACAACAATCGAGGATGTGAGTCAAGTGCTTCCCATTCAAAGATCTTCTATATTCTATAAAACTTTGAAGTGACTTGTCACCTTATTTGCGACATTACGACCTCCCTAAGCAAGGGCTCAAGCAGCGTTGAAGCGACCGCTTTACCTCTAGAAGCTCTCTGAAAAAGTTTTCAGAAATTTACTCAAATTTTTCGGAAAATTAACACTAATTTATCTTTTATATGCGCTAAAATGGTTCGCCATATTTTAGAAGTTACGGACATTGGAAGCAAATGCCAACAAATCCTGCTTTAACTAACGTCAACTTTCTTTGCCAAGGATCAGGCTCAACTTTTTTCGGAGTTTTTCGATCAAGCCACTAAAAACCTTAATGCTTAAACCAGGCCAAAAATTACCTCATAACCAATTTTGCTGGTTCCATATAATTCACTTTCTTTTGATACGGATAATATGAATTTGCAGGTCTAGCAGCTGAATTAATTAAAGTTACGCAAAGAAAGGAATGAAGTCTTTGCGATTATTTAAGCGGCGTTTTTCGGTTCGCAGGTTCCGCATCCTGTTCGAAAAACTCACAATGTCGCTGCAGCAATGTCAGGGTCAGTCAAAGGCGGTTCATTCAATTTCAGTCTATTTCTGCTAATGACTCATTGCCGAAAAATTTTTAATTGTATGCGTGTGGTTCTTCTCTTGGGCTGGACCTTCTAGATAAGAGCACCGAGCAACAACATTTTCTTTTAGCTAGTCGGTTCCGAGCCATTAGAAAGCTTCACGCAAGTTGCCCGATTAGAGCTGAAATAATTCCAGATTAGCGTACAAGGATTTATGTTCGTACGTTTACGGCCAAAGTAAATAATTATCATCATTAAAGATTACAACAAACTGCTTAAAATGTAAAGCCTGTTTTACAATTACCGATTTTCACTAATTGTAGGTTATTTAACTGAGCGACAAAGAAAATGGAAATGAGACCGAAGGGATAACTTTTCCATCAAAAATCGCACTTTCACATTTGGGGTTTTCAGCTCGACGGCATCTTTTCGCTCTCAATATGCAAGTGATAGAGTATGTAATACGGGTATAAGTGAGAGATCGTGCTCGATCGAAGGCGCTCAAAAATGGCTCAAAAGTGGAAATGTTCGATTTCTCGGATCTCGAAGCGTTTTTTAAGAGCTGGTTGCATTCCTCGCTTCTTTGTGATAAACTGGATATAGAAATTTGAGGCATTTAAGAAACTACTTTTTTTTTAATTGGCTTTAATCTCTTAAGAAATTTTCGATAAAAATTCAAAAATTTCACATGCGTGTTTTTCGAGTTTGGTAGATGGCTTGCGATCTACCTAGGAAGCTCCCCAATATGCATATCTAAAATGTTTGAGTCTATGATAAGGAAAATATCGTCGGTTAAAGATCGTAAATGTCCCAAAACCGATTAAAAAAGACCAAAAATATGGATTGCAAGCTTTTAGCGGATTTTCCAATGAGTTCGTTACATTTCCCGAAGTGGAATAAAAATGACTTCGAAAAGTTTTAAGTGAATTGACATTGCTTCAAAAAATCGGCCTCCAACCCTAATGAAATTTTCGGGCAAAAATGAAAATTTTACATGCAGTTTTATCGGGCGCAATGGAATGCTTTCGGTATAAGAAACGCACGGCACGTCTAATATGCACATATAAAGTATTCTAGTCGATTATAAGTAAAACATCGTCGATTAAATATTTTGAATGCTGAAAAAATGCTTAAATATAAATGGTCTAGCTTGTCTAGCTGGCATTTTGAAAGAATTGAAATTTTTTTACTCCGCCATTATTAAATTTGAATTCAAAAAGAAAAATTTCACATGCGTATTTTTTGCACTCAATCGAATGCATTCGACGTAAGAAACTCCCCAATATGCATATTTGAAGTCTTTTAGCGTATAATAAGAAAAATATCGTCGGCTGAGTTTGTAAACGCTCAAAAACTTTTTCAAAATGGGCAAAAATATTGATTTTTGCGAATCTGAATTCCAGTGTATTGTTTAACTAGTTCATTGCATTTCTCGCTTCTTTGAGATGAAAATAAAGTGCACTTCGAGGCATTTTGAGATAGCTGATATTTTTCACAAATCTACCTCCACCCTTAGGAAATATTCAGTCAAAAATAAGTTTCACATTCGCGCTTTTTGGGCTCAAGCGATTGCATTCGCCGTAAGAAACTCGCCAATATGCACAAATAAATTCTTTTAGTCCATAATAAGGAAAATATCGTCAGTTAACGTTCGTTAACGCACAGAGACCGTTCAAAAAATGCCAAAATTTCGTTTTTTTTATCTGAAGTTTCTAGCGTGATTTTCAACGAGCTCGTTGCATTTTCCGCTTCGGCAAGATTAAAATGATGTGGAATTCAAGGCATTTTGAGATAATTTATATTTAAGAA